ATTTTTAATAATTTTTAATAATTTTTAATAATTTTTAATAATTTTTAATAATTTTTAATAATTTTTAATAATTTTTAATAATTTTTAATAATTTTTAATAATTTTTAATAATTTTTAATAATTTTTAATAATTTTTAATAATTTTTAATAATTTTTAATAATTTTTAATAATTTTTTAATAATTTTTAATAATTTTTAATAATTTTTAATAATTTTTAATAATTTTTAATAATTTTTAATAATTTTTAATAATTTTTAATAATTTTTAATAATTTTTAATAATTTTTAATAATTTTTAATAATTTTTAATAATTTTTAATAATTTTTAATAATTTTTAATAATTTTTAATAATTTTTAATAATTTTTAATAATTTTTAATAATTTTTAATAATTTTAATAATTTTTAATAATTTTTAATAATTTTTAATAATTTTTAATAATTTTTAATAATTTTTAATAATTTTTAATAATTTTTAATAATTTTTAATAATTTTTAATAATTTTTAATAATTTTTAATAATTTTTAATAATTTTTAATAATTTTTAATAATTTTAATAATTTTTAATAATTTTTAATAATTTTTAATAATTTTTAATAATTTTTAATAATTTTTAATAATTTTTAATAATTTTTAATAATTTTTAATAATTTTTAATAATTTTTAATAATTTTTAATAATTTTTAATAATTTTTAATAATTTTTAATAATTTTTAATAATTTTTAATAATTTTTAATAATTTTTAATAATTTTTAATAATTTTTAATAATTTTTAATAATTTTTAATAATTTTTAATAATTTTTAATAATTTTTAATAATTTTTAATAATTTTTAATAATTTTTAATAATTTTTAATAATTTTTAATAATTTTTAATAATTTTTAATAATTTTTATAATTTTAATAATTTTTAATAATTTTTAATAAATTTTAATAATTTTTAATAATTTTTTAATAATTTTTAATAATTTTTAATAATTTTTAATAATTTTTAATAATTTTATAATTAATTTTTAATAATTTTTAATAATTTTTAATAATTTTTAATAATTTTTAATATTTTTAATAATTTTTAATAATTTTTAATAATTTTTAATAATTTTTAATAATTTTTAATAATTTTTAATAATTTTAATAATTTTTAATAATTTTTAATAATTTTTAATAATTTTTAATAATTTTTAATAATTTTTAATAATTTTTAATAATTTTTTAATAATTTTTAATAATTTTTAATAATTTTTAATAATTTTTAATAATTTTTAATAATTTTTAATAATTTTTAATAATTTTTAATAATTTTTAATAATTTTTAATAATTTTTAATAATTTTTAATAATTTTTAATAATTTTTAATAATTTTTAATAATTTTTAATTAATTTTTAATAATTTTTAATAATTTTTAATAATTTTTAATAATTTTAATAATTTTTAATAATTTTTAATAATTTTTAATAATTTTTAATAATTTTTAATAATTTTAATAATTTTTAATAATTTTTAATAATTTTTAATAATTTTAATAATTTTTAATAATTTTTAATATTTTTAATAATTTTTTAATAATTTTTAATAATTTTTAATAATTTTTAATAATTTTTAATAATTTTTAATAATTTTTAATAATTTTTAATAATTTTTAATAATTTTTAATAATTTTTAATAATTTTTAATAATTTTTAATAATTTTTAATAATTTTTAATAATTTTTAATAATTTTTAATAATTTTTAATAATTTTAATAATTTTTAATAATTTTTAATAATTTTTAATAATTTTTAATAATTTTTAATAATTTTTAATAATTTTTAATAATTTTTAATAATTTTTAATAATTTTTAATAATTTTTAATAATTTTTAATAATTTTTAATAATTTTTAATAATTTTTAATAATTTTTAATAATTTTTAATAATTTTTAATAATTTTTTAATAATTTTTAATAATTTTTAATAATTTTAATAATTTTTAATAATTTTTAATAATTTTTAATAATTTTTAATAATTTTTAATAATTTTTAATAATTTTTAAATTATTTTTAATAATTTTTAATAATTTTTAATAATTTTTAATAATTTTTAATAATTTTTAATAATTTTTAATAATTTTAATAATTTTTAATAATTTTTTAATAATTTTTAATAATTTTTAATAATTTTAATAATTTTTAATAATTTTTTAATAATTTTTAATATTAATAATTTTTAATAATTTTATAATTTTATAATTTTTAATAATTTTTATAATTTAATAATTTTTAATAATTTTTAATAATTTTTAATAATTTTTAATAATTTTTAATAATTTTTAATAATTTTTAATAATTTTTAATAATTTTTAATAATTTTTAATAATTTTTAATAATTTTAATAATTTTTAATAATTTTTAATAATTTTTAATAATTTTTAATAATTTTTAATAAATTTTTAATAATTTTTAATAATTTTTAATAATTTTTAATAATTTTTAATAATTTTTAATAATTTTTAATAATTTTTAATAATTTTTAATAATTTTTAATAATTTTTAATAATTTTTAATAATTTTTAATAATTTTTTAATAATTTTTTAATAATTTTTAATAATTTTTAATAATTTTAATAATTTTTAATAATTTTTAATAATTTTTAATAATTTTTAATAATTTTTAATAATTTTTAATAATTTTTTAATAATTTTTAATAATTTTTAATAATTTTTAATAAATTTTTAATAATTTTTAAATAATTTTTAATAATTTTTAATAATTTTTAATAATTTTTAATAATTTTTAATAATTTTTAATAATTTTTAATAATTTTTAATAATTTTTAATAATTTTTAATAATTTTTAATAATTTTTTAATAATTTTTAATAATTTTTAATAATTTTTAATAATTTTTAATAATTTTTAATAATTTTTAATAATTTTTAATAATTTTTAATAATTTTTAATAATTTTTTAATAATTTTTAATAATTTTTAATAATTTTTAATAATTTTTAATAATTTTTAATAATTTTTTAATAATTTTTAATAATTTTTAATAATTTTTAATAATTTTTAATAATTTTTAATAATTTTTAATAATTTTTAATAATTTTTAATAATTTTTAATAATTTTTAATAATTTTTAATAATTTTTAATAATTTTAATTTTAATAATTTTTAATAATTTTTAATAATTTTTAATAATTTTTTAATAATTTTTAATAATATTTTAATAATTTTTAATAATAATTTTTAATAATTTTTAATAATTTTTAATAATTTTTAATAATTTTTAATAATTTTTAATAATTTTTAATAATTTTTAATAATTTTTAATAATTTTTAATAATTTTAAGCACCAAAATAATGGCGGCCAACAGATAATCGGCACAGAATACTACGAGTTACGCATCCTCTCTATTTTCTTGTCTAAGATACGTATGAACAATATAAGTACCTGCCCTATTTTTGATTCCTATCTTTCGATTTCCGACAAGACACGGTTGTTGGTGAACATGCGCAGTATATATGGAACATCTGTTACCATATTGCCAAAATGTAAATCTATATAATATGATGATTTATATAATGTTAAAAAAGGTTATTTATGGCTTTATTATATCAAATAATTAGAAGAGGATGACTTTTACATTTAGCCCAATCGGATTAGTATTTTAGATTCTGAAAAATTCGAAGCAGCAATTTTCCTTCGGAATTCGTTGGAGGGGGTCTCTGGTAGTCTAAATTCAAAAAGTTGGGATTCCAAAGTTGTCGTTACCCTCCGCCATCTTGATTTAAAGGGTTATTTTTGTATCTTGAATAACTCATTTATTTTCAATTTTACACGGACAATAGTTTTTACAAAAGTTATTTAAAATTAAATTTCCTACAATTCTGCTTTTTTTTTGTACGATCGATTTTTTTCGATTTATACCCGAAAAGAGGGGGTGAATTTTTGGTTATAGAATAACTCGTTTATTTTCAATTTTACGAGAAAAATTGTTATAAACAAAGTTGTTTAAAATTAAATTTCCTACAATTCTGCTTTTTTTTGTACGATCGATTTTTTTCGATTTATACCCGAAAAGAGGGGGTGAATTTTTGGTTATAGAATAACTCGTTTATTTTCAATTTTACGAGAAAAATTGTTATAAACAAAGTTGTTTAAAATTAAATTTCCTACAATTCTGCTTTTTTTGTACGATCGATTTTTTTCGATTTATACCCGAAAAGAGGGGGTGAATTTTTGGTTATAGAATAACTCGTTTATTTTCAATTTTACGAGAAAAATTGTTATAAACAAGGTTGTTTAAAATTAAATTTCCTACAATTCTGTTTTTTTTTTGTACGCTCGATTTTTTTGTATTTATCCCTGAGAAGAGTGGGGGTGAACCTAAGTATTGTATTGTCACGTTTATTATTTATGTTGTACCATTATTTTTTCTGTTTGTTTTTTTTTGCTGATACCTGGAATTAAAAAGAAACGTGATAATACAATGATAAGAGTTTACCCCCACTCTTCTCAGGGATAAATACAAAAAAATCGAGCGTACAAAAAAAACAGAATTGTAGGAAATTTAATTTTAAACAACTTTGTTTATAACAATTTTTCTCGTAAAATTGAAAATAAACGAGTTATTCTATAACCAAAAATTCACCCCCTCTTTTCGGGTATAAATCGAAAAAAATCGATCGTACAAAAAAAAAAGCAGAATTGTAGGAAATTTAATTTTAAATACCTTTTGTAAAAACTATTTTCCGTGTAAAATTGAAAATAAATGAGTTATTCAAGATACAAAAAATAAACCTTTAAATCAAGCTGGCGGAGGTAACGACAACTTTGGAATCCCAACTTTTTGAATTTAGACTACCACAGACCCCCTCCAACGAATTCCGAAGGAAAATTGCTGCTTCGAATTTTTCAGAATCTCAAGCCTGTTCTTCACCTAATCCGATTGGGCTAATTGCAAAATATACGAAAAAAATCTAATATTAACTATTTTAAATAGTCTTTTAATTACTTACTTGACTGTTGCAGCTGAGTGAAAAACAATGTCGATTTTGTCTAAAAGAATAGTCACTTCTTTTTTATTTATTCCTAAATTTACGTGCGTAATATCTCCACATACAGCTTTGACTTTTAAGAAGACATCAATATTTTCTTGCTTAATACGACCAAAAACCTTAAAATACAAGTAAAAGTAATCAAAACCTAGTTAAAAATATCGAGTTTTGGTATAAAATATAGTTTATAGTAGTAAATCCCATTACTAAAATGTTTAGTTTATGTGAAAATATATGTCATTTTCCACTAGAAAATATAAAAAATAAGCGAAATTTAATGAAATTAATTACTTTTAAAATTTTCAGTTGTATGGCCCAGAGGACAAATATTGTAGGTATGTCCGTTTTTTCGAAAATGGGATTAGTACGATTCTGTCTTTTAAAATGAAATCTTTATGGTTACCAAATCATATAAATCCACTTGAAACGGTTTACCAGTTAGGAAGGTAATACTATATAGTATGTATAAAGTATCCATTTCTAAATCAATTTTACTTTAAAAGACATTTTTGTCCGATTAGCCATCGGATCATCAAGGGGTGACGTCAACGACGAAAAATCACTAGAACCACCTATTCATTCATAATTTAAGATCTTATTTATTGTAAGTATTCAGACTATATTTTATATTAGGCAGACAGAGCTGTCGCATCAACAGCCGCAATAATACGAGCAAGATGGCTGCTAAATTGAGTGTGGATGTTCTGTGCGAGGTAATGACAATCCACTGACAGATTATAATATGGCAACACTGTGGCCTGGTGATTTGACAGGGTTACATACATTTATCATCTATGTTTTCATAAATAAACAAGCTTATGCCTTGAAATAAAAATGTACGAAATAATTGGTTTTAAATCATATTTTTGCTAGACCGATTTGATTAATCTATCTAACAATATATGTATCATTGACCCTGTCAATGACAACCGGCCTACAGAGGTGCCATATCTAAACTGTTTGTTTCCACTGGTAGCATTTTGACAGGTCGTTGGAATGCTTAATATTTATCTTTAAACCCGGTCATACATTGCAAAGAAACGTAGCGCGTAGCGAATTTCTAAAAGAACCGACATACGTTGCCGGGTGCGCTATTGCCAGATTATGTAGTTTATCCCTTTCATATTTAAAAATAGTTTTTACAAATAACTCACTAAGAGCAACAAGTTTTATTAATTAGAATAGTTTCGAGATATATTGCCACACATCGAACGTACCCATCAACTCCTGTTTTTACCTAGTGTAGTATTTCCTACTCCGACGCATTGTGGGCAGAGATGTTACAATATTTCCCTAAACATTTCTAATAGTAAGTCCCTAAATACAATTACTTTTAACAAAACAAAAAACGTATTAAAATGTGTACAAAGTACATGAAGCTATTTTAACTGCTTTAGCAGACTTAATATTTTGGCAGAACCTATTTTAAGATTATTATGCAGAGCATTTTTGTACCTATCTTTTTTACATACATACGCCCGCTAAATAACAACTATGCAAATACTAAGTTAAACTATGGCAAACACCATTAATAGACCTGCAAATAAATGCATGGATTTTAAAAGCTTTATACGTGATGTATCATATGAATAAAACAAGTGTTAGAGATACCATATATCGGGTCTAGAAAAACACACGGTCTTCCGAACAATTTTATAATTAACAATTACCATTAAATATCAATACTTATTTAAATTCAAATACACAAATAATATGCCAAAAATATCTACAAGTCACACCATATATGTATGAATCTTCCTTTGTTCTTTATCGGCTATATGAATCATCGATCACGCAATCTGTTAATTCGACAGTATAGGGGGTGTCGCTAAGCTATTTATTTAATAGTCGGCCATCATGGATACACATTGTCCTCAATGTGGAAGTATCTGAAATAAAAATGATCTATATTTACTGTTAATGGTTTCATGTATCTTAGTGCGATCTGGGAGCTCCTTTGAAACACCCAACCAGTCCTCTTTTACTGCGTCTATGTGTCCCAGTGCAATCTGAGTGCTCTTTTAGCTCTCAGTAGGCATACATAACCAGTCTTTCTTTTTCCCTTACTTAATCTATATAACCTAGTGCAATCTGATTGCTCTTTTAGCTCTCAGTAGGCATACATAACAAGTTTTTCTTTTTCCCTTACTGCGTCTATGTAACCTAGTGCAATCTGATTGCTCTTTTAGCTCTCAGTAGGCATACATAACCAGTTTCTTTCTTTTTCCCTTACTGCGTCTATGTAACCTAGTGCAATCACATTGCTCTTTTAGCTCTCAGTAGGCATACATAACCAGTTTCTTTCTTTTTCCCTTACTGCGTCTATGTAACCTAGTGCAATCTGATTGCTCTTTTAGCTCTCAGTAGGCATACATAACCAGTTTCTTTCTTTTTCCCTTACTGCGTCTATGTAACCTAGTGCAATCTGATTGCTCTTTTAGCTCTCAGTAGGCATACATAACCAGTCTTTCTTTTTCTTTCACTTAAGCTTACCATATGACAATTCCTAGCAATGAAAGGTTTCATATGCTCTGCTGCCACAAGTGCCTCATAACGTCTGGATGTTTTGCATCGTTCAGTTCCTAGCTCATCCTTTACTCGGTATCGATCCTTTCCAACAACTTCTGTTACCATGAATGGTCCTTTAAACTTGTCTTTTAATTTCTTACTATTACCGTCGTTTCCAAAGCTCGTTACTTTCACCAGAACCTTGTCACCCACATGATATTCTGGTGTTCTAATTCTTTTGCTGTTATTATAATGGTCCTGCTTTCTTCTATTGTCTTGTAATCTTTGTTCAACCTCATTTCTCAGTTTTGTTATGTCAATCGGCGGGTTTTCCATTACATGGTTTACAAATTTGTCACCAGCTACATTTAACTTAATGCCAAACATGACTTCTGCGGGCGTAGTTTTAGTAGTTTGGTTGATGGTGCTATTTATACCCAGTTGTACATTATCAATATTACAATCCCAATCATCGGCTTCTAAATTGGCTCCACTTGTACCCACTGCATCTAGTATTGTTCTATTGTATCGCTCAACTTGCCCGTTCGCTCTTGGCATAGCTGCAGCAGTCTGATAGTGGCGTATTCCATGATTTACGCAGAAAGTTTTAAATTTTGAAGACGTGAATGCTGTTCCAGCATCTGATATCAGACGTTTCGGCGCTCCAAAGATACTAATAAGTTGTTTCATTTTCTTAATTACAGGTTTAGTCTTTGTGTTTGGTACTGCTTCTATGAATGTAAACTTAGTAAACGAATCTACTATAATTATTAAATATTTATTACCTATTTTACTTTCTACAAATGGTCCCAAATGATCAATGTATAGTGTATGGAATGGACGTGCGAATTTTGCAATTGAGAATAAGAACCCAGGTTTTTTTCCCGCGGGTGTTTCATGATATTGGTAATTAATACAAGATTTAATGTATTTATTTACGAATCTTCGCATTTTTGGGAACCAATAATGATCCTTTAACCTTTGCAAAGTCTTCTCTACAGAAAAGTGACCCAGATCATCGTGATTCGCTTGTATTATTTGCCAACGACAATTTTTAGGAACCACCCACCTTCGACCATTTTCAGTAAGTCTAAATATTTTACCTGCTCTGAGATCATAATTATTAAATATATCCTTTTCTACACTTTGATCCCCTGATTCTAGTATCTCTTTAATATGACTAATTTCGGGATCCGCGTTTTGAACAGTAGCTAACCAATCCCCGTCCGTTATTAACATTATCGACTCAGTTATTATATTTTGTTTATTATTTTCTACCGGATTGCGACTCAATGCATCCGCATGACGCATTTGTTGCCCTGGTCTATGCTCAACCGAATATGAAAATTCTTGCAACTCTAATACCCACCGACTTATGCGTAAGTTAATATCTTTCTTTCAAAGTGTTTTTAACTGAATTGCAGTCTGTTCTAATAATGAAGTTAATACCCAATAAATAAAGTCTGAATTTTACTACGCTCGCAACAATTGCTAAAAGTTCAAGTTCAAAGGAATGATACTTTTTTCTTGAGTCGTTGTTTGTCTACTAAAATAGGCCACAGGTTTTTCTCCCTGATCCGTAAGTTGAATCAATATTCCACTTAGTCCATCGCGACTTGCATCCGTATACAATAAAGTTTTCAACTTCGGATCAAAGATAATTAAAATCGGACTGGTTATCAGGATATGTTTTAGATTATGTACCACCGAACTATGTTCATCAGTCCATACCCATTTTGCTTCTTTTTGTAACAACTTAGTCAATAAATTAGATTTTTCTGCAAACTTGTAGATAAATTTGCAAAAATAACCTATTAATCCTAAAAATTGTCGAAGCTGATGAACATTTTTCGGTAGTGGAAACTGTCGAACTGCCTCTACTTTGCCACTGTCTGGTAAAATGCCCTAACTGTTTATTTGATAGCCTAGAAAGTTTATATTTTCTTTTAAAAAATAACATTTTGATAGATTTAATGTTACATTGTTCTGTTTTAAAATATCAAATACTACTCTTAAAGTCTTTAAGTTATCTTCTGGTGTTTTAGAGACAATCAATACATCATCAAGGTATATTATGACATTTTCGTATGCCAAATTACCAAAAAGTTTGTACATCACTCTCTGAAACACGGCAGGTGCATTAACTAAACCGAATGGCATACGAAGATACTCAAAATGTCCATTAGGGGTTACAAAAGCTGTTTTAGCAATAGATTCAGGATGCAATACAATCTGATGATAACCAGCCCTGAAATCGAAACTACTAAAATATTTACAGTTTCTTAATCTATCTATTAAATCTTCAATTTGAGGTAAAGGGAACTTTTCTTTAATAGTTAGAGCATTAAGTGCTCAGAAATCTACACAAAGTCTTTTGTCACTACAATTCTTTTTACTGACTAAAAGGACAGGACTAGCATATGGCGAACGACTCTCACGAATTATATTGGCTTGTAACAATTCAGAAATTATTTCATTTAATTTTTGTTTTTCAGCTTCGGCCATCCTATATGGATTTCGGTACCGGCTTATCTGTACTAAGTTCAATTTTCATTGGCTCGCATACGATTTGGCCAAGATTTTCAATGCTAGTCGAAATAATACAACGATA